CGGAGCTGCAGAGGAGACACATGTGCACAGACCTGGGTGAACTGACAAGCTATCTTGGCTTGCGGATCACCCGGGACAGAGCACGGCGCACCATCACCTTGACTCAGTCACACATGGTGCAGCAGATCCTTCAGCGCTTCCGCTTCACGTACTCCTCGCCTCAGTCCACTCCTCTGCCTACCGGTCACTCGCTCTCAGCTCTGCCTTCGGATGAGTCCGTAGAGCCGAGTGGCCCGTATCCAGAGCTTGTGGGCTGCCTCATGTACCTGATGACCTGCACTCGACCTGACCTTGCATACCCTCTTAGCATCCTTGCACGCTATGTCGCTCCTGGCCGTCACAGGAAGGAGCACATGGATGCCGCTAAGAGGGTGTTGCGCTACTTTTGCAGTACGTCGGGCATGGGGCTAGTGCTTGGAGGGCGAGACCGAGTTGTACTTACTGGACACTCAGACGCTTCTTGGGCGGACGACCAGGCTACTCAGCGGTCGTCTCAGGGTTACACCTTCAGCCTTGGCTCCGGCTCAGTTTCTTGGCGTTCTACACGCTCTTCTTCTGTTCTCAGCTCCAGTTGTGAGGCTGAGATCTACGCCACAGCCATGGCTGCCCAGGAGCTACGCTGGCTGACCTACCTGCTGACCGACTTGGGTGAGCGGCCTCGTTCTCCTCCAGTGCTGTACGTCGACAACCAGGCTGCCATTGCCTTGTGTGAGGAGCACAGACTGGAGCACAGAACGAAGCACATCGCCCTGCGGTACTTCCTTGCTCGAGAGCTGCAGCAGCGCGGTCAGCTTTGTCTGCGTTACGTGGCCACTGAGGCCAACCTTGCTGATGTGTTCACCAATTCGCTTCCGCCTTGTGACCATCAGCGCTTCTGCACTCTGCTAGGCCTTGTGCCTACTGGACCTCACTTACTTACCTCTTGACCTTGCTTGTACTGTGATCACTATATATATATATATATATCTACCTGCATGTTTACTCTTGCTAGGTTGTGATCACTGTATCTCATGCTCTGTTATAAACCTGCATGTGAACTGGTCTTGTGACCACTAGCTTGTGCTCGGAATTTGTGTGGTATCCTTGAGATCCACCCTGAGCTTGTTGTTGCCTTGCTTTGCCTTGACTGGTCTTGTGACCCCTAGGTCTCCCCCACTTTGCCTATGGGGGTGTGTCAAACATTATATATGTTGTGTTTGTGTAGGCTGTAGTGGGTTAGCCTATAGGGGGGTCACAATATTAGGGTTTCATATTTGTACTCACAATCCTTTCTAGTTCACCATTCCAGTCCGTTATCACTGACAATGGAATGGTTCCATGCATGAGCTGAAGTATGTGGGATGATGTTTGGCAGCCAAAGGTTGAGTTTTTTATGTGGTGCAATCTATGCATTCATGTCTGCCTTCCTCCCATCTTATGTTCGTACGTTGCATCTGTGGTGTGCGCGTGCGCAAAAATTTGTGTTTGGCATGGTTTAGTTTTCAGAGTGTGTGCGAATGTTATTTTGCTTGAGGAAATATCTTAAATGACTTCTCTGTTCATGAGCTTTCCGATGAACCAAGATCGTCGCTATCAGAGCAAGAACGAGAAAGTTATGATCGTTCAAAGTTTTGATTGTGATGCGGCGACTATGGAAATCGGAGGTGTGACTCTATTTGGGGTATAAATTTTTGTCGGGGTTTAGGGTTTAGGGTTTAGGGGCAACCTGACCAGATGCGACACCTCTGCGGACAAGCTCTTAGCTCGTGCCCTCCCGTGTGTCTTCCTTGGTTTCCTGGTGGACTCCTCTGACTACACCTTTTACCACCCGCCCCTCTACCAGTTCTTTGAATCTCGCGACGTCCGGTTTAACGAGTCTGTGTCCTACTACACCCGGTACCCCTGTCGAGGTCTCCCGGTTCCCCCCCCCCCCTCCCCTTTCCTCGCCCCTTCTCCTCCTCCTGCTCCCGCTCCTCCGGTACACCCGCCCCCCCTGGTCTTGCCCCGTATGGTGTGTCGCACGTCACCCCTCTCCCCTCGGTAGCACGTCAGGTGCCGTCTCCTTCCCCACAGTCGTCCTCACAGTCACCGCGACTACCTTTGGCACTACCGCGACAGGTCGCACTCGACTCCGAGGGTGTTGGTGCTGGGGGCATGAGCATTGGCAGTGCCAGTTCTGATGGTGTTGGAGCTGGGGGCGTTGGTGTTGGAGGTGCTGGTTCTGAGGGTGCTGGAGATGATGTTACTAACACTAGATGTGCTAATCTGGAGGTGCTCGTGCTGTGGACACTAGTTCTGGGGGTGCTGGAGCTGGAGCTGCTTGTTCTGAGGAGACTAGAGCTGGAGGCACTGCTGCTACGGCGCCTACCCCACCTCCCCATCGCTACCCGACGAGTTTCCAGAGGCTTCGTCAGCTGGAGCGCGAGGAGGTGGAGCGGTTGGAGCAGGAGAGGCTGGGGCTGGAGTGGCAGCAGCAGGAGCTGCAGCGGCAGGAGCAGGAGCGGCAGCGGCAGCAGCAGCAGCAACAGCAGCAGCAGCAGCAGCAGCAGCAGCAGCAGCAGCAGCAGCAGCAGCAGCAGCAGCAGCAGCAGCAGCAGCAGCAGCAGCAGCAGCAGCAGCAGCAGCAGCAGCAGCAGCAGCAGCAGCAGCAGCAGCAGCAGCAGCAGCAGCAATAGCAGCATCAGCAGGAGCAGGAGCTGCAGCAGTCGCTGCCTTTGAAGCCGTTGCCTCCACCTGTGAGTGGCCTTCGGGCCCTTGGTCTTCCTTCCCCTCCTCTTGACAGGTCATTGTTTCCTCCTGTTTACGGTCCTACGTTTCCCCCTCCGGAATTGTCTCCGGCTATTTTCTCTCCTCCTCGGTCACGGTCGTCTCCTCCTGTTGTCCCGCACGACTGGACAGTTCGTTGTCCCGCCCGTGCACGTCCCTAGTCTCCCCTTGACGACCTCCGCACTGTCTTACTTCGTTCGAGTCCTCTTCGTTCTCCGCTTTAGTCTGTTCTCCCGTCACCTCCTGAGTCATCTCTTACAGCTCCACCTCTTCCTCTATCACTGACTACTATCGTGCCTCTCTAGTCACGGACCCTCGTGCCTCTCCGTCGTCTGTCTCGGCTCTTACAGGTGCTGTCGCTGACTTTGCCGCCACCCGCCGCCTTGACTATGCCACCCGAGTGGTACCTGCCCGTCCTCTATCCGTCAAGGGTGAGTCTGCCCTTGGCTGTGACGTCCTAGAGGACAGACAGTTTGAGTTGGAGTTTTTGGCAGCCGCTTCGCCTCATCTCTGTGCCATGATGTTAGCCCTTGAGGGTACCGACTCCTCGCACGTACCGTGAGGCATTGTCAGGGCAGTGGGCCTCTCAGTGGATAGCAGCCATGGAGTCAGAGATGGCGTCTTGGAGATCCACAGGCACTTATGTCGACGCAGTTCCCCCGCCTGGGGCGAACGTATACGATGGCATGTGGATCTTCAAGGTGAAGCGGCCGCCGGAATCACCGACGGTCTTCAAGGCGCGCTACGTGGCTAGAGGCTTCAGTCAGCGCGAGGGAGTTTACTTCTTTCAGACCTTCGCACTGACCCCGAAGATTACCACTCTTCGAGTGTTACTCCACGTTGTAGCACAGCAACGAGCTGCACTCCCTTGACTTCTCCACCGCTTTTCTCCAAGGCAGCCTGCACGAGGAGATCTGGCTTTTCTCCCGGCTTCACTAACACTTTCCCGCCTGGGACCCAGTGGAGCCTGAGGCGACCAGTCTACGGTCTCCGCCAGGCGCCCCATGAGTGGCACGACACGCCGCGCACCACTCTTGCTGCCCTCTTGCGCACCACTCTTGCCGCCGACCCGTCGTTGTTCGTTCGTTCTGGGCCCACACCTTTCTTCGTCCTTGTCTACGTCGACGACTTGGTCTTTGCTATAGCAGACAGGGTCGCTCTGGATGAGGTGATGTCCAAAGCGCAGAAGAGACACACGTGGACTGACATTGGTGAGCTGCGCCGCTACCTTGGCTTGCAGATCACCAGGGACAGAGCCGCTCGCACCATTACACTCTCACAGCCACACAGCAGATCCTTCAGCGGTTCGGGCTTCAGCAGCAGATCCTTCAGCGGTTCGGGCTTCAGCACTCCACCACACAGCCCACTCATCTTGCCGTTGACCATAGACTCACCGGCCCTTTTCCCGACGAGCCCTTTGAGTCTAGTGGTCCCTACGCAGAGCTTGTGGGTTGCCTCATGTACCTGATGACTTGTACTCATCCGGACCTCGCCTTTCCTCTCAGCGTCCTCTCTCGCTTTGTTGCGACTGGGAGACACCGTCCTGTTCACTGGACAGCTGCTGTGAGGGTGGCGAAGTACCTGGCGACTACATCAGGCATGGGGCTTGTGCTTGGAGGGAGACAGCCAGTTGTTCTCACCGGTTACTGCGACCCTTCTTACGCCGATGACGTTGAGACTCAGCGGTCTACTCAGGGGTACTGCTTCAGCTTGGGCGCTGGAGCTGTGTCGTGGAGGTCCACACGATCGTTGTCTGTGGCTTCGTCTAGTGCTGAGGCAGAGATCTACGCTGGTGCCATGGCTGCGCAGGAGCTTCACTGGTTGACTTTTTTGCTTTCCGACCTTGGTGAACGGCCTCGCTTTGCACCGACCTTGTTCGCTGACAACAAGGCCATGATCCTCCTGTGTCGAGAGCCTCGACTGGAGAGCAGAGTGAAGCAGATCGACATGAGTTATTTTCTCATGCGAGAGTTACCTAACTTACTTCCTTAGCTTCTTAGATTCTGAGAGTGTGCATCGTGCTTGCTTATTATGGACGACTGGCCATAGCGCAGTGCTCCAGATTGAAGCGCATGCGCTTATATCCGGGGCCTTACAGTACCTTGAATACAATGGATGGGCCCTTTTCAGGTCAGCAGATGAACCCCCCAACCAGCCCTACTCTAGTATGGCCCCATTCATACTGGATTCAGAAAAGTCAGTCGTACGACTAATATATGGCCAAGCTCGACAACACATGAGCTCAGCTCATTTTGTCACGCAGCCAGCGTGATGCTGCCTGCCAGCTTCACAAGTGAGGGCCCTTTACCCCAGGGAGCAAATCTCCCAGCCAGCGCCGCCACACGCACTGCACCAAGCTTGAGGGCCCTCGCTGCTGCAGCCTGGTCTGCACATTCGGCGAGTGCAGGCGGCGTGGTGGGCAGGGCGAAGAGCACGCGGTTGATGTCCCCGTCCACGTCCACCTCGTACACCGCTGTGAACACCTGCACGCACCGTGCATAGGGCCCGGGGGCGCAGTGATGCGAGTGGGGCGGGGGGGGGGGGAGGGGGGGGGGACGAGCGGGGTGAATGGGGCGAGATGGGGAGTGAGGAGAGTACGGGGAGTGAGGCGCGTGCAAGAGACTCACCTGTCGCACGGCAGCAACAGCCGCCTTGTACTTGCTGCTAGCCCGCGCAACCACATTCAGCACAAGCATCCCTCCCTCATTCAGGGCAGCTCGGGCTGACTGAAGAAAATGCGGCTCCAAGAAGACCTGTGCTGGGCAGCTCATTCCCGTACTACAAGGGGGGAGGAAAGGAGGGGGGGAAGCAGTGTGGAGATGAGAGTATCCAGGTCAATGTTAAGGAAGCAAAGAAAGGCAGACTAGTCAGAGCATGCGCAGGAGGCAATAGTGAACACTAGTGAAGACTTGGCGACACATGAGCAGTAGTGGAGCAACGGGGTAGTACCAAGGCAATGTGGGCAACACCGGGTGGACGAGGAGACGGGTTCAAGCAAGGTGAGAGAGCAGGAGGATGTGTGGGAAGAGTGGTGCATGCGGGGGTGACCTGGGGTCATCGGAGTCAGCATCCACGAATATCACGTCCACCCCTGCTCCCCCACGCCCTCCTCCCCCGCACTCAGAATCGCCTGACAGGGCCAGAGCTGCTGTGGCGCGCTGCAGTGCCGGTACCGAGTCGTCCAGCACTGCCCCTTGCTGCGCCCCTTGGGTGGCGTGCGGCGCAGCCATGGCGTGCACGAGCGCCACACCGTCGCCAATGTGCAGCTGCCATGCACGCACGCACGGCGCCACGCTCCGGGAGACAGGGTAAACAGGTGACGGAAACGAGTGCTACAAGACAGCGAAGGGGAAGACAAAAGCGCGGTGAGGAACGTGGTTCCAGCAACGGCAAGGAGCACTCACTCGCAGCACGGAGTCTTGTGTGAATCCAAAGTGGTCGCTTGCAACTTGCCCCATCACTGCATCCAGCTCCGCCACCTGCCATCCATGCACATGCACAAGCACACGAGGCACCACATGGGGCCCCGCCCCTCACACACCCCACCCGCACCCATGCGGAACTGAGGTATGGGCGAGAGAGCAACATGAATGAAGGGGCTTGTCGCGGATAAGGGGTGTCCTCCTGGAGTGGTGGGGTGGCGTGATGGTGTGCCAACAAGCAACGCGTGTTTCCGGGGGGGCGTGACCAATATGGACATGTGGGGCGTAAGGCATGGTGCGAGTAGGAGAGACGCACGGTGATACTTGTGAAGGGGAAGTGCTGGCGCAGGAACATGGGCAGCGCCCCTCCGCCCAGCCCTATCACGGCTGCTGTCAGCTGCAAGTAGAAACGAGGAGAAACGGGGAGGCAGTTTGCAAGAAAGCCAAGTGTATTGGTGGGTGGGGATTGTTGGGCAGCATTCACTTGAAGTGGTTTTTCCGCCACGAATGGGAGGGCAGAGGAGTGAGAGGAGTGGAGCAGATGGGGGCGCATGGGGCAGAGGGGGAGGGCAGGTGGAGTGGCGGTGGTGGTGTGGAGCGCTGACCTGGGCGTGGGTGGTCTCCCTGGCCTCCATGAGCGGCGCCACGAGGCTGAGCCCGGCCAGCATGGCGCCGTGGTACTCACTCGCCAGCTGCCCGTGATCCACCACCCACTCCGCCCCTGCTCCTCTCCCCGCCTCCTCACCCGCCTGCTGCTTCCGCGCTGCCTTTGCCGCTGCCTTCTTGCTCTTCTTACTCGCACCCACTGCCGTGTCTGCTGCTGCTGCCTTCCCTTGCTTCTGCTTTCCTCCCGCCGCGCCTTTCTTCCCTCCCTCCTTCCCTACAGCATCAGACGTTCCTCCTGCTGCACTACCACGCTGCTCCTCCCGCGGGGCAGTAGGGGCGGGGGGCGGCTTGGGCACGAGGAGGGCCTCGGACTGCACGAGGTTGGGGTTGCGGCGGAAGACGAGGCGGCGCGTGCAGTGGGGGGGCGAGCGCACGTCGTCCAGCACCACCATGGCGCCCGTCGTGGCTGATACCACCTGCCACCCACCGCGCCCACGCCCAGTGCGCCGCCAGCATGGGGTTGGCAAGGCAAGTGTAACAACACAAGGTTGTAATGGTCCTCATGTACTTGCGTGTGAATCCGTATGTCAGCCACTGTGTGATTCATGGCTCACAAGTCATTGCACGGCAACGGCAAGTGACATGCATCCACATGAAATGGCAGGCAGCAGGGCGGAGCGACAAAAGACATGGCATGCTTGCACAGGAGGATGAGCAGCGCGCAGCGAGGGGCAGCGAGGCACAGCACGCACCTCAGCACGCAGGGTGCCAGTAACGGCAGCCGTCTCCGTGGTCATGTACCTGGTGGCACGCAGGGGGGGCGTGCACCACACGCCATGCATGGTCAGCGCACACACGCATGTGCGCAGCATGCAGGTGCAGCAGCGGGTGCCATGCAGGGCAAAGAATAAAGCGAGCAGCAAGTATGGAATGCGACCCATAGGCACATGCAGCAAGGAGGCTTAGAAGCGGGCAGAGGGCAGGCGGCGGGGGGAGCAGCACTGACGGGATGGCGTAGCGGGTCTTCCTACAGTACTCGGGCGCCAGCTGTAGCACCAGCGGCGACAGCTCCTCCTGCCACCCCTCATGCACCACACCGTGCGCACACAATGCAGCGCGTCACACATGCATGGTCAAATCGTGGGACGGAAACTGCCTGCCAGCTTTCACAAGTGCTGAAAGGGAGTGAGACTCCCAAGAGGGCGCAGTGACTGACCTGCACTTGCGCCATGGTCAGTGGCAGCTGCCCCGGCTGCTCGTTCTGCTGCACCTGTTACACATGAGGACACACATGCCAGGGACACGAGGAAGGGGGTTAAACATGAAAAGAAGCAAACAACCCATGCACTGCAGTGCTGTGAGCACATCAGGGTTCAAAAAAACGACCGTTTTTTTGAAAATTTACCGTAAAAAACGGTATCGTAAAAACGGTTTAAAACGGTTCCAGGAGGTGTTTCCTGTTTAACTAACTAAACGGTCACCTAGTGGGACCAAATTGAACCCGAAAAGGAGCAGCATGAAGGGGACGGACCCCTTCTTGCATGTATGCACTTGTTGGCATGATTGAAAATGTTTTTGACCTTGTTTTTCTCTTTTTTTCCTTGGTGAACAGAGTTCTCTAACAAAAAAACGGCCGAATTTTTTAAAAATCACCGTAAAAAACGACCGTAAAAAACGGACCGTATTTTACGAAAACCGTAATTTTAAACCTTGGAGCACATGCACACACAGTGCCCGCGTGGGCAGCAAGCATTGATGTGGAGGAGGAGCGGGCGGGGGTTACCAGAATGAGGCGCTGAGTATTGGCTGATTCCACCAGCTGCCACTGCCCTTCCTCCGATGCATACAGCCAGTCGCGGTTCATGCCCTGGTGCACACGCAGAGGGGGCATTCATGCACACACAGTGTGGTAAGTACATCAAGTGCCATGTGCCATGTGTGGAGAGAGGGCGATTGAAGTGCGTGAGTGGAGTGGTATGCAGCCCGTTTGTGTGCATGGGCATGAGCATGGGGGGGGCCAGGCGTGGCCTGGCAAAGACCTGGCCCTCGGCCATGGAACCATACACGGGCGTGGGTGGGGCGTGGGTGGGGCGTGGGTGGGGCCGGCCCCAGCCCAAGGGTGGCACACCCAGCAAGGGCCGCGCGAGCGGATAGAAGAGGGGCCAACGAACAAACGGAGGGCGTGGGGCGCTGCTCGAGCATCCTTTGCTGGAATTGCAGGTGCAAAGACACACCTGCATGCCCACTGCACCGCGCCTCAGGCTGGGCCAGGGCCCGGCCCATGCCACCGGGCCAACCGTTTAAAAAAGCCGGTCCAGACCATTCTCATGTCATCCTAGATTTAGGCTGGCCTGGCCCTGGCCGGCGCTCGGGGCGACTGGTGGTCATACGTGGGGCTCATGCATGCACTCCACTCACAATGCCAGCATCCGTGCACAGCAGCCCTCGCGCCTGAGCGCCACCCATTCCCCTTCAGCCCGTGTGCAGCACGTGGCATGCGGCAGCAGTCACCTGGGGCACGAGGAAGACAGCGCAGGGCAGGGATGCGCCATCCAGCATGGTGGGCGTGGCGTCCAGCACCACACCCGAGAACGCACTGCCGCCCCCACCACCAACGCCATGTGCAAGCGCGGCAGGGGAGGGAGTGGCATCATCCGGCGGTGGTGCCATCACAACGACCTCTCCACACTCCTCTCCCTGCGCCGCTGCTGCGGCCCCTGGCACATGCGGGTTGAGGCGGCACATCACGCGCCTGCCCGCGCTGTACGTTGCCAGCGCCGCCAGGGACAGCGGTGAGGCAGGTGACTGCGAGGCACCCGCACCCGCGTGCACAGCGGGCGCAGCGAGTGGCGGGGGCATGCAGGGTGTTGATCGGATTTGGTTCTCGCGATCAACGATGGTGAACATGTCCGCCAGCTGCTCCGGGTGGATGCCGTTGTGACCCACGCGCGCAAACGTCGTCGCCACTAGCGGTAGCAGCGGTGCCGTGGGCGCGGGAGAGGAGGACGAAGGGGGGGAGCGCGGAGCGGTGTTGGTGGCGACGACGAGGAAGGGGCGCAGGGGCGAGGGGGCGGTGTGCGGGGCGATGGGCACGGCATGGATGACCACCGTCCACGTGGCGGTGCGGAAGTGACGCAGCAGCAGCTCTGCACAGAGGACGGAGACAGACGCAGACAGAGGTGCGGGAAGGGGGGAGAGGATGAGAAGAGGCAGAGCCAGCTGATGCGTTAAACGGAGTGGATGAGCGACAGGGGGGATGGGAAGGGGTGCGGACGGGGGTATATGGGTGTTGCAAGTGCGTAGGTGGGTGGAGTGGTACACAGGCAGCCTGTGTGCGTGTGTGGCTTGGCTGCACTCCACTCCACTCAACCCACACTGCGTGCACCCCATGCCACACCAACCCACCCACCCACCCCACCACCACCACTTTCCCCGCTCAACCCCCCCTGCGCCCGCCACCCCTGAGCGCACCGAGCACGTGGCGCTGGGCGAGCGTGACGCAGAGGTAGCGCCCGCCCCCCGGGGCGACGAGGCGCTGCACCTCGCGCAGCAGGCGCGTGCCCGCGGCGGAGGCGTCGCCGCCGTCCTCGCCCATGAGCGCGTCCAGCCCGCCCTTGTCCACCACCACGTCGAACACGCCCCCCGCGTACTGCGCACACACGCCCGCACGTGCGCGCGGGGACAGGGGGAGCGGAGGGGGAGGAGATCGGGACAAGTGGGTGGGGAGGGAGGGGTGTGACGGACGGGGGGTTGAAGGGGGAAGGGGGAATGGGGGACGGGGGGTTGAGAGCAGAGGTGGGGAGGAGCAGCACGGGCGAGTGCGGGCGCTTCTGTGGTGCGATGCGGCTTCCTCGCCGTGGCGCTGCAGCGCTGTGCGCGAGCGCATGACAGCACTTAAAAGGACGTGGGGTTAGCACACACGGGCAGCGCGGCAGTGTGGCCAGCAAAAGGAGGGTCAACAATTTCCGTATCCTCGCCACCACGCGCGCCTCTCACTCCTGCGCCACCATCCCGCCGCGCCCTCTCAATCTCCCCTAAACCCCCGCTAAACCCTGGCACTGCGCGACGCTCACGGCGATTGCGGCGTCCACCTGCTGGCCCCTGCATGCCTCCCGCTCCCACCCACGACCCGCTCGCCGCGTCTCGCCGCGGAACGCGCAGCGCACGTACAGTGGTGGCGGTCATGTCCATGACATGCCATTTCATGTTCGGCCGCGCCGCGTCATTCTTGCGCTTCATCTCGTCGATGACGACCGTACTGAAGTCAATACTCGTGATGACAGCGGGCGCACGACCGTCAGGGACATCGGGGAGCGCCACGTGGTCGTGCAGCTGCGCGGACAGCTCCGAGTTGCCGCACCCCACCACCAGGATCTGCAGCGGTGACTCATCGCTTGCGTCGCCGCCTGCGCGGTGTGCAGTGCCGCAGCACTCGGGGCGCAGCAGCAGCGGCTTGAGCTCGTGCCACTCGCCGTACCACTCGAACGCCTTGCCGCGGCGCTTCCTGAAGAACCTGTCCCAGTACTCGCGCGACCTGAACTCGTCCGCGCTCGACGGCAGCAGATCCATGGCGCCTCGCGCCGCCTGCACTAGGAATGGAGAGAGCTGCCGGATCCCAACTGCGGCAAGGGTGTCTGTTGTGACGGCGTTCCCTGTTGTATTTTTCGAATCCGCGTCGCAGAAAGAATTAAACACCCTCGGTAGAATCGCGCCCTTATTGTTACAGTACTACAATAAGAACCAAATTGCAGAATTTCTTGGGAAAGGATTCTGCCCAGCGCTGACTATTCAAATAAAACCACTCTGATTGTATTGGGCCCCCAAAATTTTTTAGTCTGAGGCCCATTTTCCAGAGAATGAATACTCTGATTTCTCAGGAACCATAGAAGCATAACTCTGAAATCTGTAGAATTTTGAGACTACCACAACACTAAGCATGTTTTACTACTAGCGGGACTTATGCACAAGTCCCGAGGGGTGTATTTTCTTCGAAGTAACATGAATGGCGTAGAGGAGTTCATACTCTGTAGTATGAGAACTCACTATCCGGCAAGCAACTACTCTGAAATTTTCAGTATTGAAAGAAACACTAGTCTGAAGCACTCATTTTCCAAAATTAGCCAACTCTGAAAAATCAGGAATGACAGGAAAATAGTCTGAAATTTCAGACAATCAGACTAAAATAGTCTGATATCGTCAGCCCTGATTCTGCCTTAGCGAGTTGTTAAAGTGAAGCCAATCTATTGGATGGTCCAGCGTTATTGCCCTTCTGCACAACTTCACTACGTGTCTGTCAGAATGAAGAATGGATGATGCATTGATGTTGGTTGGGGTACATATAGCTAACCCTAAGTTTTGTACCCCCTAAGACAAACCTCACTATAGGCTACAACATTTGACACACCCCCATAGCCTAAGTGAGGGGTGTCTAGCAGAACCAAACGAGTACGGTCACAAGACCAGTCCAAGAAACGAAGCTCAGGGTGGATCACAACGTCACCACACAGTCTGAGCACAAACAACAGTGGCCACAAGGCCAGTCCAAGAAGTAACAGAGGTATATAGAAAGCAAAGTAAACAGTACACTCAAGCCTAAGCAACACGAGAACCAGTGTCAACAAGGCCTAACTGCACACAGCACCTCTGGTGGTCACAAGGCGGAAGCGCCTTGGTGAAGATGTCTGCAGTGTTGGCCTCGGACTCCACAAACTCAAAGCGAGCCTGTCCACGCCTCTGCAACTCTCGCAGAAGAAAGTACCTGACGTGAATGTGCTTCACTCTGCTCTCCAGTCGTGGCTCTCGACAAAGGAGAATAGACGCCTTGTTGTCAGTGAACAAGGTCGGTGCAGAGCTCGGCCGCTCACCAAGGTCGGTGAGCAAGAAGGTCAACCAACGCAGCTCCTGTGCCGCCATGGCACCAGCGTAGATCTCAGCCTCAGCTGTAGAGGTCGAGACCGAAGAGGAGCGCGTGGACCGCCAGGAAACAGCTCCAGAACCCAGGCTGAAACAGTACCCCTGAGTAGACCTGTGAGTCTCAGCGTCGTCAGCGTAAGAGGAGTCACAGTGACCAGTAAGTACGACAGACTGCTGCCCTCCAAGAACTAGCCCCACGCCTGACATCGTCGCTAGGTACTTCGCCACCCTCACAGCTGCTGTCCAGTGAACAGGACGGTGTCTCCCTGGCGCAACAAAGCGCGCAAGAACGCTGAGAGGGAAGGCGAGGTCCGGGCGAGTACAAGTCATCAGGTACATGAGGCAACCCACAAGCTCAGCGTAGGGACCACTAGGCTCGAACGGCTCGTCAGGAAAGGGTCCAGTGAGTCTGTGGTCAACAGCAAGAGGTGTGCGCTGTACTGTGGAGTGCTGAAGCCCGAACCGCTGAAGGACCTGCTGCACCATGTGCGACTGTGAAAGTGTAATGGTGCGAGCAGCTCTGTCCCTGGTGATCTGCAGGCCAAGGTAGTGGCGCAGCTCACCAAGATCAGTGCAGGTGTGTCTCTTCTGCAGTTTGGACTTCACGTGTGCCAAAGCAACCCTGTCAGGGGTGGCGAAAACAAGGTCGTCAACGTAGACCAGAACAAAGAAAGGTGTGGGGCCACGACGAACGAACAGCGACGGGTCAGCAGAAGACGGCTGGAACCCAAGGTCAGACAGGGTAGAACGCAGGGTGTCGTGCCACTCACGAGGAGCCTGACGAAGACCGTAAACCGGTCGCCTCAGCCTCCACTGGGTCCCAGGAGGGAAAGAGCCAGTGAAGGCAGAGGGACGACGCAACCAGACCTCCTCGTGAAGACTGCCCTGAAGGAAAGCAGTAGAGAAGTCGAGAGAGTGTAACTCGTAGTCTCTCTGTGCTGCTACGTGTAGTAACACCCGAAGAGTGGTCATCTTCGGGGTGGGCGCGAAGGTCTGAAAGAAGTCAACTCCCTCGCGCTGACTGAAACCTCTAGCCACGTAGCGTGCCTTGAAGACCGGAGGAGATCCCGGTGGCCGCTTCACCCTGTAGATCCACATGCCGTCGACTACGTTCGCCCCCGGAGGGGGAACCTCATCGACGTAGGTGCCTGTGGATCTGTAGGAGGCCATCTCTGCGTCCATGGCAGCTCTCCACTGAGAGGCCCAAGGCCCTGACACTGCCTCAGCGTAAGTGCGAGGAGTCGGAATGTCAAGGGCGTCGGGGTCACCCTCAGGGGCGAGGAGCATGGCACAGAGATGAGGGGAAGCGGCCGCCAGGAACTCTAGCTCAAACTGCCTGTCCTCTAGGGCGTCACAGCCAAGGGCAGACACACCCCCGACGGCCAGAGGACTGGAAGGAGGAGCAGCCACAAGCGCGGTGGCGAAGTCAAGGCGGCGGGTAGAGGCAAACTCAGTGACTGCGGCAGTAAGAGCGGACACAGAGGACACAGAGGCACGAGGGTGAGTAACAAGCGAGGCGAGAACACGAGAGAGAAGAGGACGGTACGTGCGGTAGTAGTCAGTGACAGGAGTAGGGAGCGACGCAGTGAGAGCCGACTCAGGAGGAGACGGAAGCACAGACGGAGACGGACGAGGTGGACTAGAACGAAGTAAGGCAGTACGAAGGTCAGTGAAGGGAACAGGAGACGAGGGACGAGCACGAGGGGAGCGACGAGAGGCCCAAGTCTGAGAAGGAGGAGGGGACAACGAAGACTGAGAACGAGGGAAAACAGCGGGAGAGGGGTCAGGAGGAGGAAGCGGAGGACCAGAGACGGGAGGAGAGGGGGAGGAGGAAGGAGAGGGAGAGGGGAGACCAAGGGTCCGAAGACCCGAGACAGGAGGAGGAGACGGCAACTGCTGCTGCTGCGGCTGCTGCGGCTGCTGCTGCTCCAGCGGCTGCTGCCCCTGCTGCTGTCGCTCCTGCTCCTCGAGCCGCTGCAACTCTCTCCCCTCTCTCTCCAACTCCAGCTGCTCCTCACGAGCACGGCGAACACGAGCCTGGAACCTGGTCGGGTAGGGGTGGGGGGAAGGAGTAGTGTCCGGGGCAGCGGCAGCCCCAGAGTCGACCTCCGAAGCACCAAGCACACCACCCCCAGAGGCAGCACCAACACCAGCTCCAGACCCAGGCTCTCCAGAAACCGAAGGAACACCCTCACCCCCAGACGCAGCACCCCCAGACTCCGCACCAGCACCCCCAGACTCCGCACGACCAGTACCAGCCCCCGGAAGAGAAGAGTCCTCTGCAACCCGCGGCTCAGCTCCAACTCCAGCACCCCCAGAACCAGAGACCTGTACAGGGACAGTCGCAGGACCAACCTCCCGAGAGGGAGCACCTACAGGAGGCGGTGAGGAAGACTGTGGGGAGGGAGGCTGTACAGGGGGGGCTACCGAAGGGGGAGGGCTAGCCTGAGACACACCAGACGGGGCTGGACCAGGGGGGGGAGGCTGTACCGGGGGAGCAGGCGGGGGAGCGGCTGTCAGGAAGAGGGGGGGAGGAGGAACCGGGAGACCTCGACTGGGGTACCTGACGTAGTACGGGGTGGACTCCTCGAAACGGACGTCACGGGAGTCAAAGAACCGGTGAGAGGGAGGGTGGTAAAAGGTGAAGTCAGAGGAGTCCTCAGGGAAACCAAGGAAGACACAAGGAACGGCGCGAGGCGAGAGCTTGTCCGCGGAGGTGTCGCGGACAAGAGCCAAGCACCCCCAGACACGAAACCTCGACGCGACACCAGGGGACCCTGTCCAAAGACTGGTCGGTGAAGCCTCCGGCCGAGAGACGCGTGGCCAGAGGTTCAGCTGGTGCGCGGCGTACCTGACTGCGTATGGCCACAGGAAATGGGGGGCACGGGCGTGAGTCAAGGAGGTGCGGGCAATCTCCATGACCAGGCCTATGCGACGCTCAGCAACCCCATTCTGCTGTGGGGACTCCGGAAGCGTCCAGGACTGACGAATGCCCTGTTCGCGACAGAATCCAGCGAGAATGCCGGAGCGAAACTCGCCCCCGCGGTCGGAGTGGAGACAACTGACACGACGACCACGAGTGTCCTGGGTGGTAAGCAACCACCTGATCAGCGTAGAAGTCACCTCAGACTTCCTCGCCAGGGGGAACACTGTGGTGTAGCGGGAGTAGTCGTCAACGACCACAAAAAAGAAACGCTCACGCTCAGGGCCAGGGCGAGGAGAGGGGCCCCAGACGTCCAAGTGCAGCGTCTCAAAAGGCTCGGTGGCCGGACGAAGGGAGGAGGAGTGAGGGGTGGCACGCAGCCTACCCTCGACGCAAGGACCGCACGGTGGTGCAAGGGACGGCGGCAGCGACGGCAAGACACGCGGGAGACCTAAGACCAGACGCTGACTAGACATAGCACGCAGACGTGGAAGAGAAGGGTGTCCCATCCGGTGGTGCCACAGAACGGTGGGGTGGGCAAGCGACCGACAGGAGCAAGACGCAGCGACTGGACTGGACGCGACAACCTGAGGGGACGGAACCACCTGGTGAGACGCAGGGAGGAGACTAGGGGGAGGGACAGAAACTGGGAGGAGTAGGCTGCGACGGCGGCCGCTGTGGCTGCGGCTGCGGCTGCTGCCGCTGCTGCTGCTGCGGCTGCTGCTGCTGCTGCTGCTGCTGCTGCGGCTGCTGCTGCTGCTGCAGTCGCTGCTGAGCGCGCGGGCCAGTGTGAAGAGTGTAGAGACCGGAGCCCGGCTCAGCAGCAAAAGTGGCGAGGGGCTGGTAAGAGTCCCCGTCAACACACACCGCAGTCTCTCCAGAAGGCTCAAACCACACACCCACGTGCTGACTCACGAGGGGTCGCACGCCCACCAAGTTCCGGGAGAACGAGGGGACGTGAAACCCAGTGAGAGACCCAGAAGGAGCAGCCGGACACGGCAAGGTGGTAGTGTGACGCGCGGTGACTGGTCCCGAAGTGGGATCAGCCAGCGCCACAGAAACAGGCGCAGGAAGAGGCGTAAGTGTCGTGCTGTCACGAAAGAAGCAGTGAGAGGCTCCAGAGTCCAGCGTGAACGACAGCGAACCGTCCTCTGAGGTAGCCGCTGGACTAGAGTCTACACAAGAACCTACACTAGCAACAGGCAACTGAGCAAGGCTAGCACCTAAGCTAACAACACCAGAGTAAGCAGAGTCAGAAACACTAGAGTCAACAACAGCATACATAGCATGGGGAGTACCAATCAGATCAACTAACTGCTCAGCAGACATGCCCCACAGAGCGGAGCCGTAGCGCTGAACAAGAGGCAGCCAGTCAGGGGCAGGAGCACCAACCCCGTAGACCAAACGAACCGTGTCAGTGAGCTGAGCAAAGCACTGACCAGGGGGGTGAAACCGGCCACAAGGGTGGCCACGACGAGGGCCTGTCAGAACCTGGTAGGTGCAGGGAGTGTAAGCAGCACCACGCTGGGTCTGACGCAGCCCCGACCCTGGAGCCAGCTGCTGCCGCTGCTGCTGCTGAGGCTGCTGGGAGGAGAGGGGCTGCTGGTGCTGCAGAAGCTGCTGCTGACGCTGAGCCTGGTACCACGCCGCTGCTCCACCAACCGGGGCAGGAAGTACAGGAGGCGACTGACGAACTCGGGCGTCGCCACCACTAGCAGGCGCAGTGGAGTCACCAGTCACTGCACGAGGCGCCTCTCCAGGCCCTGAACCTCCACCGCCGCCAGGCGCAACGCCACCTCCACTACCTCCGCCTCCACCTCCACTACCACCACCAGAACCGCCTTTCTTGCCACTCCTACCGCGGGACCGCGACGCAGTCGTAACAGCAGCTGCAGTCGCGTCAGTAGCGGCAGTGGCAAGTGAGGCAGTAAAGGTGGGTAACTGCGGGACTGTGCACCCGTGGAAGAGTGGGGGGGGCACAGCACCAGAGGCAGCGGCTACCGAGCGAAGGTTGCTCTCGACGTCCTTGAGTGCAGACTCAAGGACATCGACGGTGAGCTCACTAGGGTGCTTCAGCAGAAGCGCGTCGCGAACGGAGGCAAGGCGGTCAAGGAGGCTAGTGGCGATGAAATAGATAGTAATCGCCATAGGGGGAGGAAGCAGTGCAAGCTGTGCCTCAGTGCAAGCAGCGCGGTAACTAGCGTCGAGCGAGCGGAGGTGAGCGATCAAGTCAGCAGAGCGCTCAAACGAGGCGAGATCAGGAAACAGGAACGGGAGGAAAAGACGGCCAAGAGAGACAGTAGCGGGAGTAGAGTAGCGGGCCTTAATCGCAGTGAGGTACGCAGCAGCGGTGCGAACCTGAGTGAAGTGGACCTCCTCTGACTCAGGGAGGAGGCTGCTGAGTGCGATGCAGGCCGCAGCGTCACGCGACGTCCAAGCCGTCCTGTCAGCGCGCTGACGGGCAAAGCGAGCCGTAGCAGCATCGTCAGGGGCAGGACCTAAAGCGGCAGGCTCGGGGGGCTCGGGGAGGTCACCAGTAGCGTGCGACCAGAGGGTCTCGCCCCCCTGGACTTGACTCTCTAACAGACGGCGAGCGCGAAGAAGCCAGACGGAAAAGTCAAGAGGTCTACCGTCAGCGTCGAAACGAAGAACTCGCGGAGTCGCCATAGCGAGAACTAACGCGAACGAGCAGGCGAGTAACAGCAGGAGGTAAGAGGCAAATTAGGGTTCAGGTGGGGGGGGGGGGACTTAGTCGCAGCGGAAGAACGGGCTAGGGCGACGGGCCAGGGCGTAGGGTCGACGGGACGGGGGAAAGGGCGGGCGCGATGCGACGGGGCAGGGCGACGCGACGGGGCAGGGCGACGCGACGGGGCAGGGCGACGGGACGGGGAAGGGCGACGCGACGGGGCAGGGCGACGCGACGGGGCAGGGCGACGGGACGGGGAAGGGCGACGCGACGGGGCAGGGCGACGCGACGGGGCAGGGCGACGGGACGGGGCAGGGCGACGTGACGGGGGGAAAGGGCGCGACGCGACGGGGGGAAAGGGCGCGACGCGACGGGGGGAAAGAGCGCGACGCGACGGGGGGAAAAGGGCGCGACTCGACTGGGGGGAAAGGGCGCGACGCGACGGGGGGAAAGGGACGCGACGAGGGGGAAAGGGCGGGCAGGACGCGACGCTAGGAGTGGCGCTAGGCGCGGCACTACGCGCGGTAACAACGGAACCGGGACGAATGAGAGCTAGGATCAGGCTCGGGAGGCTCGAACGGAGAACGGAGGAACGGGATCCCACAGGATCCTAACCTAACTGATACCATGTCAGAATGAAGAATGGATGATGCATTGATGTTGGTTGGGGTACATATAGCTAACCCTAAGTTTTGTACCCCCTAAGACAAACCTCACTATAGGCTACAACATTTGACAGTGTCCTACTGTACTAGTGAAATGGCGCCGCAGACTTTCTGACCAAGCATTTACTATAATGCCACACGACACAAGACAAGGCAGGGAGTGGTGCAGGGTGATCACCAGGAGTCAAATGCTACAGCGGGGGGCAGGCGGAAGGAGCAGCAGAGCATCCACTTGGAGGGCGCCACGAGGCGCACCCTGTGGAAGTCAATGCCTGTTACGGGCTGGCCCAGCGCTGCTGCTATGCGCTGTTGGCAGGCGACGAGGTGGCAAGGGGCAAGTGGGAAAGAGAGCATGTAAGAGAGTCCAAGCGGGAGCGTGAACGGACGAAAAAGCTTGATGTAAACAAGTAGACGAGCGGAGAGACCGTGGAGGAGAAGGCAAGGAGCCTGGATGAGAGGGGGAGGTGTGAGAGTACCTGGGATAGCTCTAGCTCGGGGTCAGCGGCCTTGGAGAACGCATACACGTGGATCATGGGCGGAGGGGTCCGAGTGCCCCACTTGCCCAGAGGAAATGCACCCTTGAGAACATCTGGCACGGGATGGTGGAGTGAGAGGAGTGGAGCGGGATGGAGTGGGATGGGGAGGTGAGGCAAGCAGCGGGTGTGAGAGAGATGGTTGGCACGCGGAGATGAATGTGTTGATACCCATCAGCAGGCTGCCACATCAGGAACTGGAGTGTGTCATCACTTGTGAAGGCTTCTGTGCGAAAACGTGTGACACAGAGATCAGGCTGCAAATATAAGAATAGATGGAAAGCAGAGGCACAAATCGCACCGAGGAACTCGATGGCGTCGGCAGGCAGGTTCATGACGATGCGTGTCATGTGCACCGGGCGCGGCAGAGACAGCAGGTGCCTGATGAAATCACGGCCGTCCAGGTTGAATATCTGATGGTAGAAAGGGCAATCACGATTGACAGGGGAATGGTGTGCAAAAGCAGAGCTAGAGCTGTGAATGCAATTACAACCGTAAAAAAATAAATTAGAGACGGGTAGAACAGGTGCGAGCCACATACAGGAAGGGAAGAGAACTGAAGCCAGGTGGCATTTGGTGGGTTGCAAAATGAGGGAGCAGGCATGGTGTGCGCCATAGTGCACATGCACGAGGGAGCAGAAGGTCACGGATGGTTGAGAAGAACAGCCTGATGACGGCAGGGCTGGGATACCGCAGGTCTGACCTCGACTTTGCCGTCCACACGGTTAGCAATGATGTTTTGCGCGAGGAAGGTGAGTGCAGAGGGGTTGAGGTCGTTGGCGTACACGCGCTTCACACGCTTGGCTGCCGCCACCGCGATGGGCCCCACTCCCGCAAACACATCGCCTGCACAGGGCATGGGTGGCAACCGCGGTGAGAGCAGAGGTGTGTGGCAAGGTTCCTCGTGACTACCGCTTGGCAACGGCTGTTATGAGTGTGGCCCCACACATGCAGTTTGCAGCGTGAAGGGATATCAGGAAAGGATGAACAGGGAAGTGAGTTGAGGGGAGGAGGGGCTGAGCAGGGGGGCAGAGGCCGCTAGCTTATGAGGCACAGCACTGCTGGTAGCACACTGGCAGCGAGCAGAGAATGCAGTATGGCACAAGGAGGGTCGGAGGCGTGAGGAGCTGAGGAAACTGCCAGGAAATGTTCATATTAGCAGGCCAAGGCAATTTGTGAACATGGGAAACAGCAGGAGCAGGGGTAAGGCAATGGCGAATAGGATATGAAGGGCGTGGAGCTGACAGACAACATCGGCTGAGGTGAAGGTTGACACGAGGCGAGCTCGCTCCGTGGCCAGACGCGAGTTCCAATACCTGCTCATTGCGCATGGCAGGGGACACGTGGCAGGGAGCATCGGAGGGTGGTGTGTGAAGTGATGGCATAGGTGCTTGCAGATACAACTTAGAGGCCGTGTGACAAAGCCATTGGTGCACATCCGCTGACGGACAGACACAGACTGCTCCAGAGGAGCACGAGTCCATGCTACTAAGGTGATAGGTGTTTGTTTATACCCAACGACATGAGAGAGCCTGGCACTGCTCAGAATGTGAAACAAAGGCAAGGTACAATGGCAGATACCATGAGAGGATGGGCACCGCAGAGAACCGAGGCTAGGACAGGCATAGGAAAGCGAGGGCATGACACGGAGGCGGCAGTGGCACGTGAGTGAGTTCGCAGCGAAGAGGTGTGGTGACGATGCGCATCCACAGTGAGTGGACGGCACCAGAGTGCATTGCAGCGCAGCACAGCGGTACGAACACAAGAAACCACTGCACAGCACACCAGGAGCACAGAAGCAGGGCATCACAACAGCACAGAACCACAGCAGCACAGAACCACAGCAGCACAGAACCACAGCAGCACAGAACCACAGCAGCACAGAACCACAGCAGCACAGAACCACAGCAGCACAGAACCACAGCAGCACAGAACCACAGCAGCACAGAACCACAGCAGCACAGAACCACAGCAGCACAGAACCACAGCAGCACAGAACCACAGCAGCACAGAACCACAGCAGCACAGAACCACAGCAGCACAGAACCACAGCAGCACAGAACCACAGCAGCACAGAACCACAGCAGCACAGAACCACAGCAGCACAGAACCACAGCAGCACAGAACCACAGCAGCACAGAACCACAGCAGCACAGAACCACAGCAGCACAGAACCACAGCAGCACAGAACCACAGCAGCACAGAACCACAGCAGCACAGAACCACAGCAGCACAGAACCACAGCAGCACAGAACCACAGCAGCACAGAACCACAGCAGCACAGAACCACAGCAGCACAGAACCACAGCAGCACAGAACCACAGCAGCACAGAACCACAGCAGCACAGAACCACAGCAGCACAGAACCACAGCAGCACAGAACCACAGCAGCACAGAACCACAGCAGCACAGAACCACAGCAGCACAGAACCACAGCAGCACAGAACCACAGCAGCACAGAACCACAGCAGCACAGAACCACAGCAGCACAGAACCACAGCAGCACAGAACCACAGCAGCACAGAACCACAGCAGCACAGAACCACAGCAGCACAGAACCACAGCAGCACAGAACCACAGCAGCACAGAACCACAGCAGCACAGAACCACAGCAGCACAGAACCACAGCAGCACAGAACCACAGCAGCACAGAACCACAGCAGCACAGAACCACAGCAGCACAGAAGCACAGCAGCACAGAAGCACAGCAGCACAGAAGCACAGCAGCAGAGCAGCAGAGCAGCAGAGCAGCAGGGGTATGGGAGGAAGGGGCAGGGCGGGAGGGCACGGACACGCGGGCGAAGTCGACTTTGAAGGCGAGGCCGCTCTCCCTGGCGGTGGTGACGAGGCGGAAGCTGCCCGCCAGCAGCTCCAGCTTCATGGTGCGGTACACCTCGTGGATGGCCGCTGTCTTGTTCACCACCGACAGGATGCGCGGCTTGTGCTTGTCCAGCAGCACCTTGTATGGGGGATTGGCGCACCGAGGGGAGAGGGGGAGGGGATTGGGAGGCAGAGAGGGAGTGAGGCGGAGAGGTGGAGGGGTTTGGGAGGGGGCACAGCACCAGAGGAGTATGACTGTGCTGGGAATATTAGTTGGTTGCAGGTTGGAGCATTTGGAAGAGAAGGCACTCGGTGTGCACTTCTGCAACAGCCAGGCAGAGAGGGACACAGATACAGCTGAGAGAGGACGGAGGAAGGTGCAAGGGAGGGAAGGTGGAGTAGCACGGGGGGAGAGGGGCCAGACGAGGAAAGAGTGTGTGGATAGAGAGTATTCTTCATGGGTGCCATGCTAGCCATGCCATGCCTCCACTGTGATCTCGCGCTACTGTCCTGCTGCTGCAAGACACGAATGCGTATGGCGGGCACATGCACGCCAAGTGTTGCACAAGGTGCAATGGCGAGGCAGTGAGGGAAGAAGACGCGTGCATGAGTGCGAGGAGGTGCGGCCCCCAGGCGGGCTGACCTGCGCAATGAGGTGCTTGTACGGCAGGTGCACGTCCAGCAGGTTGAGGTGCGCGATGTGCCCCACGCTCTCAAACGACGTGGGCACGGGCACGTGGGGGGGCAGCACGTGGCGCAGGATGTCGTCCGCCGTCCAGTACTCGTACCCCACCGTCACCGCACACGCCACCAGCTCCGCCCCCTCCACCCCGCCACCCCTCCCGCCTTCCCCACTGCTCCCTCCGTGCGTGCGCTGGCCGTTCGGTGCGCCGTCACGTTCGCCCTCGCGTCCCTGGCTAGCACCCTGGCGACATGGTTCATGCTCATCCTGCGCACGCATGGCGCACGCAGTATGCTCCACGCTGTGCGACCCAGCAGGGGATGATGGCACGCCAAGGATGGTCTGCTGACACATGCACACCACACACCACACAAAGGCAGGCGGGAATTCGAATCAACCAGTAGAAAGGGGCAGAGGCAGAGCGAGGCAGAGGGGCAAGGTGAGCAGGTGCATGGGGCGCAGTGGATGGGGCGAGCGAGGCCATGGCAGGGGCACGCATGGCAAGTGGGTGGCAAGAGACGTGAGGCACACAGGGGAGAACGGATGAAGTGACATCGGATAATGGGACGGAGGGATACATGGGCGGCACTGAATGCTGCATGGATCGAAGGGATAGGGCAGGAGAGAGAGGGTACGAGTTTGGATCGCCGCATGGCAAAAAGGTGGTGCATGTATTGAGTCGTCCCAGCCGACAGCGACGGGACACCTCCTACTGGACTGAGAACTGAGGCAGGGTGCAGGGTGGGCGAGCAGCATGGCATGCTCATGCTGTGGGCCGAGGCAGGTGCTGAAGTCACCTTGAGCACAGGTGGCAGCATGTGAGTGGGTGAGTGCAGAAGGTCCTCTCGGAGCAGCAGGATGCGGCTGGCTTGCCTGCCAGGGCTGCTGCTATGGTGAGGGGGGGAGAATGGAGGGTGGGCGTGCCAGGGTAGGCCATGGGGCAAGGCCACTGCACCCACCACCTCCACCCGTGCCATGCACTCCTCTTCCCCTCTCCTGCCCCCCCTCCCGTTCTCCCCCCCTTTCCCCCTCTCCTCTACCTCGTCCCCACCATCGCCTGGCACGCGAGCCACGTTCTTGAGGCGAGGCCAGTCCAGCAGGCACCCCGCGGCCGCCAGCTGCTTCACCAGCGCCCCACACGAGGCGGGCGGCACTCTCAATCCCGGCACCACAAACTGCCGAACGAATGCCGCCCTGTCCATCTCCACGGGTCGGTACACCCGCTCCCTTGTGCGGCTGCTCCCCTCGGTGCCATCACTCGATACCTCTCCGCCAGTGTCCCTGGTGTCGCTGTCACTACTACTGTTGCCTCTGCCCCCACTCACATCACCCTTGTCCATGCGCTCACCTCTCACCTGCTCCCCAGCACCACCCTCCGTCAACCGAAGGAACTCCTTATTCCTCCGCCTCCCCCCCCTCCTCTCCCTCTCCCCCCCTGCACCCTCTCCCCCACCCTCCACCTCCCCTCCTGCCATCCCCGCCCCATCACTCCCCTCCCCTTCCACCCCACCCCACACACTCTTCTCCTCCGCTCCATCCACCTCTCCGCCCACCATGCGCTCCCCCCCACCGCCCCCCCCCCGCCGCTCGTCCCACACCACGTTGAACTCCGCCATGAGGCGCGCCCTGTCCTCCTGCAGCCACCGCTCTTCCATCGCCTCCCACTCCTTCACGGCCGCCTTGGCGCGCCACCCATACCCCTGCCGCAGCTTCTTGCGCGCCCACGTGCCCAGCTTCTCCCCGCCCCACGTCCCCTTCTCCCACGCCTCCTGCATCTTCTCTATCGCGCCCTCCCCCACTCCGCGCTGCCACGCGTCCTTCCCCTTGCGCCCCCACCAGTGGTGGAAATCCCCCTCGCCTCCCCCCCTCCTCCCCCGCGCTCCCCCTTCCGCCCGCCCGCCCTGCACTCGTGTGCCCCCCTGCCGGCGCCCCTCGCGCGCAACCCCGCGCCGCTGCTCCCCTTTGCTCTCTCCTTCCCCTAAACCCTCTGTCTCCCCTCTTTCCGCGCGCTCCAGCGCCCCGCCTCTCTCCGGGCGCGGAGGGCACACTCCTCGGGAGAGCGACGGGCCCCGCGCGACCTCCCCCTCCTTTTCCGCCGAAAGACCTCCCCCGTCGCGCAGAACGCCCCTGTTCTCCCCGTCAGCGCGGTCAGAATCCGTCCTCCCCCCGCCCTGCCGCCATCCGCTGCGCCCGTCTGACCCGCCCCCTTGCGCCCATCCGCCACTGCGCCCGTGCCCCGCGACGCGTTTGCCCCGCCCGCTGCCGCCGCTAATTCTGCTGCCACCACTTCTGCTGCTACTCCTACTGCCGCTCTTGCCGCCGCTGCTGCCACTGCCGTTCGATCGCGCAACAAACCATCCACCCGACTCGGCCGTAACGGCGGCTTCCCCTACTCGGCTGCCCTTCCGCCCTTGCCCCGCGCGCGAAATAGCCCCGAGCAACGCAAAGCCCCGAACCTCTAGGGCGGGAGCTGAGGCCCCAGGAGGCAGAAATAGAGCGGGGGGGTAGGCGGCGGGGGCAGGCGGGGCGTGCAGCACGGCGGAATGCAGCGCGCGGAGCCTGGAGGCCGCGCGCAGTGCCATGGCGCACGGCGGGTGGACTGCTGCGTGGAGAGAAACAAAACGAAACACGTGTGGGGAATCCCAAGCGTGGCCCTGGTGCTCCCGTTGCGCTTGGTGGGGAAATGGAGGAAGAGTTAGTTTGATATTTGGGAAAATATGCCACAAGTAACACACAGTGGCATAGAAAATTCGTTTGGTAAAAAAAAGCAGTGTACGGTCACTGAAAAGGGTGTTTTCACGGGAGTGATAATAGGGTTCACGTAATCAGTCACTATTTGCTGGCGGAATTTCACGTGAATGGTCACACATGAAACTCCCGCCAAAAATAAATGAAACTCCCGCCAAGTACACATGAAACTCGGAAATTTTCCCGCTCGCGCAAAACCAACCAGTCAACTTTGAAAAAACTAAACCCAATCGGAAGCTGATACGATTTGGGAACGGATCAACCCTAAATACCAGGCAAGTTACGTGTTTAGGGTTGAACAATCCGAAAATGCATCCAGGTTCCTTTTGGGTATTAACTTTTCCGGGCGGGAATTTCATGTGTGACCATTCGCGTGAAATTTCGCCAGCAAATGGTGACTGATTACGTGAACCCTATTATCATTCGCGTGAAAACACCCTTTTTCAGTGACCGTACACTGTTTTTTTTTTACCAGACAAACTATCGAAACAACTGTATGTTACTTGTGGCATATTTTCCCTTGATATTTGCACGGCTTCAGTATATACAATATACACTACACGTACAAAACTCGCGTCCCCTCCCTCGATCGATCCTGCCCTCAATCGATCGAGGGACAGGTACAGTGTCGCAATTAACAGAGTAACCACATTTCGATATGACTAACAAATGCACAGTAATTGGGGCTTAACTAGGGTCCTCGACATCAGACATTTTTGTCTGTTTGGCATAGTTTCCAGACGGATTTTTTTGGATTAATCTGATGGGCCAGTCAGAATCAGACAAAAGTTTTTTTTCGCCCAGGGGACCTGACTGATGCATCAGACATCCCTCGGATCCTAGCGATGACCCTGGGCCCAACAATATTGTCTCTTGCTCTGATGACGATCGATATGCCCTCGTGGCCAAACCGATCTCGGCTTTTAAAGGGTCGCTAGTTTTTCCCCCTTATTTTCGATCCTGTCACCCTGGGCTCGCGATCGATCCGCGATTGTCACCTCCTACCAATCCCGCCCCAATCCTGCGATCGGTGTGCCCGATCGTTTTTTTTTACAACGATCTCGCGATCGATCGGGGGAGAGGACGCGCACTTATCTTTGGAGAACAGGCTCAGTCCTGTCAAATATTATAGCCTGTAGTGGGTTGGGCTATATGGGGTACAACTAGTTAGGGTTAGGTTATGTACCCCAATTCTGTCAATGCAACACATTCCGCTGTAGTTCTCATTCTGACATGGTATCAGCAGTAGGTTAGCGCTCCTAGCCCTAGGCCCGCCCGTCCCTACCACTAGGGTTACCACTGCGCCCCGCCAGCCCGCCAGCGCCCTACCCCACGCCCCAGCCGGCGCGCCCCTCCCCTCCCCGCCCTTAGCCAGCGCGCCCGCCAGCCAGCCAGCGCGCACGCCAGCCAGCCAGCGCGCCAGCCAGCCAGCGCGCCAGCCAGCCAGCGCGCCAGCCAGCCAGCGCGCCAGCCAGCCAGCGCGCCAGCCAGCCAGCGCGCCAGCCAGCCAGCGCGCCAGCCAGCCAGCGCGCCAGCCAGCCAGCGCGCCTGCCAGCCAGCGCGCTAGCCCGCCAGCCAGCCAGCGCGCCCGCCAGCGAGCTCGCCAGCGCGCCCGCCAGCGCGCCCGCCAGCGCGCCCGCCAGCGCGCCGCGCCAGCGGGCCCCGTCAGCGCGCACGCCAGCGCGCCGCGCCCGCCAGCGCGCGCCCTGCCTAGCCGCCCGCCAGCGCGCCGCGCCCGCGCGCCACGCCAGCCAGCGCGCCGCGCCGGAGCGCGCCCCGCCAGCGCGCGCCCCGCCGCCCCGCGCCCAGCCAGAACGCGCCCCGCCTGCGCGCACCCGCCTCGCACTCACCTCCCTCTCCTCCTCCTCTCGCGGCTGGCGGCCGCTATCGCTTGTTCTCGCCCCTCATGGCGACGTCTCGCGTGCTCCGTTTCGACCCTGAGGGGCGCGCGATCGACTTTAGTACCTGGCTGACGCAGGCCCAGCGCCACCTTAGGAGCCAGCGCCAGGATGGCGTGCACCTGTTTGCGCACGCGTCCGGTGCTCTGCCCGCCCCGCCGCAGCCTACACCGCTGCCCACTACCCCACCGCCTACTTCTGAGCAGGAGGCTGAGTACCAGCGCCGGTTCCTCGCTCGTGACGTGTGGGAGTCTCGTGACGCTGCTGCCTGCCTCGCCCTGACCGACCTTCTCCCGCCGACTGAGGCCGTCCACTTCACTCAGGTCGAGTCTGCTGCAGACCTTTACACTGCTATTGTTGCTCGCTACTCCACTCCCTCCTCTGCCTCCCTCAGCCGCCTCCTCGTCCCCTTTATCTACCCTGACCTCGCCTCCTTTGAGACTGTCGCTGACCTCGCTACCCACCTGCGCTCCCTTGAAGCTCGCTTCAAGGCCGCTTGCACTGAGGAACAGCTTGCCCTTGCACCCCCCCCCATGTGGCTCACTATTCACTGGTTAGTCACTCGCCTCCCTGACCGTCTAGCCACAGCCCGCGACGCGCTTCTCCTGAAGCACCCCACTGAGCTTACTATCGATCTTCTTGAGACCGCTCTCTCGAAGATCGAGAGTAACCTCCTCGCTGTTGCCTCCGCCTCTTCCGCGCCTCCTCCTCGTCTCTTTGAGGGGTGTGCGGTACCACAGCTTCCCACCTTCACTGCCTCGCTTGCCACTGCCGCGTCTTCTGCCTCTGAGGAGACGGCGGCCGTTTCTGTCTCTGGCGGACAGAAACGTGGCAAGTCCGGCAAGAAGGGAGGGAAGGGCGGCGGGGGTTCTGGGGGTGTTGCGGGTGGCGGCGCTAGCGGTAGTACTAGTGGCGGGGGTGGCGGCGGGGGTGACTCGGGACCTGACGGCTCTCCTCTAGACGGTGGTGAGGGGTTTCCGCAGCAGCAGCAGCAGACTCCTCCGCAGCTGCCACCGCCTGGACAGCAGCAGCGGCAGGGACAGCAGCAGCAGCGCCAGGGCCAGCAGCAGCGTCCGCCTCAGCAGCAGCCCCAGCAGTGGGGCACTCAGCAGCAGTGGGGCACTCAGCAGCAGCGGGGCCCTTCGCAGCAGTTGGGCCTTCCGCAGCAGTGGAGACCTACGGGCCCCCCGAGCACTGGGCGCAGTGGTGCCCCTTCTAGTCGGGGACCCCGCTCGGCCGGCCGCGACGTTGGTCCCTGTGAGTACTGGATCCTGACGGGTCCGCGCAGGGGCACGTACTGCGGCCGCCCTGACCACTCTGCTGCACGCTGCTTCAGCCGTCTCGACGACCTGTACGTCCTGCACCACGGCCCCTCCGCTCCCCCGCCACCGCGCTGGGGACCACTCCTTGCTCGTGGTGTTGCTGTGTTTGATATGTCTATGGATGATGCTAGGTCTTATGCGATGTATGCTGATGTTGACTATAGTGCTGCTGGATCTGTTTACTTGCCTGTACCTAGCGTAGGATCTTTGCCTGTTGCTAGAGTAGGTGCTGGTGTAGGATCCTGTCTAGCTACTAGTACAGGTGCTCCCTCGGCGGACGCGTCGCTCTCCTTCACACTGGACTCCGGAGCGACGCAGTGCTTCTTCCGCGACAGCACGACTCTTACTCCACTCTCGGCGCCGGTTTCTGTAGCACTGGCCGATCCCTCTTCGGGACCGGTCATTGCGACTCACGCCACTACCCTCCCGTGCCCAGCTGCCCCTTCCGGTTCTCTGACCGGCCTCCACGTTCCTACTTTCTCTAGGAACCTGGTTGGTGTGGCTCCTCTGGCGAGACAGCACGTCGGGGTCTGGGTTGAGCCTTCTGGTGACACTGCAGTCTGTGTGGACGGTGACACGTACGCCCCTCTGGCCACTTTTCGTCAGGAGCCGGGCTCTGGTCTGTACACCCTCCACACCGACACCCGTCCGGTTCCCCCGTCCCACCAGGTAGCCAGGTCCAGTCAGGTAGCTGTGCCAGGTCTAGTGGCTGCGTCGTGCTCGTGTCGGTCGCTGTCCCACCCTGTCCTCCTCTGGCACCACCGCCTTGGTCACCCGTCCCTCTCTCGTCTCCGCGCTATGTCCAGTCAGCGTCTTGTCTTAGGCCTCCCCCGCGACCTCCCGCCGCTCCCGCCGTCCCCCGCCCCTTCGTGCGGTCCTTGTGTCCAGGGTCGGCTGCGCGCCACTCCTCACTCCTCCTCCCTTCGTCCAGCCTCCGAGCCCTTTGAGACACTCCACTTAGACGTCTGGGGCCCCGCTTCCCGGCTTGGACCTGAGCGAGAGAGCTTCTTTCTAGTGGTCGTTGACGACTACTCTCGGTACACCACCGTGTTCCCTTTGGCGAAGAAGTCCGACGTGACTTCTACGCTGATCCGGTGGCTGCTCGCCACCGAGAGTACTCGTCGTCGTCGTGTCAGTTGTCTCCACTCCGACCGTGGGGGTGAGTTTCGCTCCGGCATTCTCGCCAGATTCTGTGCTGAGCAGGGCATCACCCAGTCCTGGACTCTTCCAGACTCTCCACAGCAGAATGGGGTTGCTGAGCGCCGGCTAGGCCTGGTCATGGAGATTGCCCGCACCTCCATGATCCACGCCCGCGCGCCCCATTTTCTGTGGCCCTACGCGGCTCGGTACGCCGCTCACCAGCTGAACCTCTGGCCTCGCGTCTCTCGGCCAGGGGCTTCACCGACCAGTCTTTGGACAGGGTCCCCTGGTGTTGCGTCAAGGTTTCGTGTCTGGGGCTGCTTGGCGCTTGTCCGCGACACCTCTGCGGACAAGCTCTCACCTCGCGGCGTCCCCTGTGTCTTCCTTGGTTTCCCTGAGGCCTCCTCTGACTTCACCTTTTACCACCCTCCCTCCCACCGGTTCTTTGACTCTCGTGACGTCAGTTTCGACGAG